TTTTTGAGAAAACCATAGTTTTCAGCGTCTTCGTGGAATTTTGCCAAACGGGCCTCTGGCGCCGCATGCCGACATCATTCGCCTGCCCTTGCCAGCGTGCTGGGTGGGGGGGGGGGGGCGCGATCCGCGTCAGAAAAAGCGTTGCGGGCCACTCGCTCGCGCCGCGCGCGCGCGTCGAACTCTGTCCAGAACCTTCATCGCCGACGCGAGGGCGCCGTCATCGTCGTCGGCGTGATCAGTATTGGCGCCTTCGCCGACCGCTCCTTCGTCGGTGCGACCATCGTCGCCAGCGTCGCCACCGTCATCGTCGCGTCTGCCGCGGTCGGCGTTGCCATGGTACCGCGCCCGCCCAAGTCGCCGACCCGCAGTTGAGTGCCCGCTGGGATGTGCCCGGCGGTCACCGCCGCTGCGGCCGCGTCGGCGGCGCCAAACTAGCCGGCCGCTGCGCGCGCGTGCGGGGGTTGTTGCTGCCGCAGAAATGCACCAGCCAACGCCGTGCATGCATCGCAATCGCCACCGCATGGGTTTTGCAAACCAAATTGCGGGTGGGTGGGTGGGATGTTTGCAAGAGCGTGGGATGCTTCAGCCTCGTTGCACCGCGTAGACTGCTTGTCATATAATCTCCTTTTTGGAAAAAACTTATTCTGCCCCCCCGAACCCGGATTTTTCGACCCCCCTTTTCCTATTGCAATGCACATGTGGTTTTGGCCCACCGTTCATCTTCAATCTGATTTGCACCGTCCCAGGGTGGCCGGTATCCCCCCCCGCCATCCCGTGCAAAAAGAGTTATCGCTCGCGCTCGTTTATCAACGACCAGCAGTTGTCACGAATCCCGTGCAAGACGTGGGGCGAGGTTCACGCGCGCGCGCGTCGTCGCGCGCGCGTGCCGAAATCCTTCGACAACCTTCGGCTTTGCAAGAATTTCAAATCGATTGCCCAACCAACATCGAACGCACGTTGTTTCTCAGCGCGGGTTTTCAGAAAACTTGCGCGCGCAATCTTGCTAATTCTTCAGAAAACCATATTTTTTAATATATATATATATATATATATCAGTCGTTGTCCGAGCGTGCTACCCGGCGGGCTTCGCGCGCGCATGTCGAAATCGTTCGAAAGCCATTGTCCATCGCAAGTGTGCATTCATGCCATCCCAGCCGAGCGGCATCGACCCCCCCCCCCCCCCCCCCCGCCATCCTTCCTTAGCGACAAATATTTTGCGCGCGCGCTCGTTTATCACAAATCATCAGTTGCCAAGAGTCCCTTGCAAAGAATGGGGCGAAGCGAGCGCGCGCGCGTCGCGCGCGTCGTCGCGCGCGCATGCCGAAATCCGTCAAAAACCTTGCTTGGTTTTGCGGCGACTTCGCAACCGAGTGCCCAATCAAGATAGACAAAACATGGTTTCGCAACATCAGTTCTCAAACAATCGTGCGATCGCGCTCTTGCGAATTCTTAAGACAATCGTCGGCTGCTCAGAATGTCCATTAAATTCTGCCACGCGGGCCTCTGGCGCCGCATGCCGACATCATTCGCACACCCTTGCGCGCGTGCGCTGTGTGTGGTGGTGGTGGTGGTGGTGCTGGTGGTGGTGGTGGTGGTGGTGGTGGTGGTGGTAGTGGTGTGGGGGGGGGATGCGATCCGTGCCAAATGATATCACGCGGACCACTCTCGCGCGTCGGCCGCGCGCGCGTCGAACTCTTTCCAGAACCTTCATCGCCGACGCGAGGGCGCCGTCATCTTCGTCGGCGTGATCAGCATCGGCGCCCGTGTTGGCCTTCGTCGGTGCGAAAATCATCGCCAACATCGGATGTGTCATCTTCGTGTCAACCGTTGCCGACGTTGCCATGATACCGCGCCCGCCCAAGTCGCCGACTCGCACTGGAGTGCCCGCTGGGATGTGCCCGGCGGTCAGCGCCATCGCGGCCGCGTCGGTCGCCTATCTGGCCGCTGCGCGCGCGAGCATGCGCGGGTTAGCGCGGCCGTGGAGATGCACCAGCCAGCACCAAACACTCATCGCAATCGCTTCCGCATGGGTTGTGTAAACCAAACATGCATGCACGCATGCGTACATACATGTTTACATACAGTACAGCGACCGATGGCTCGAACTTCACTGGTTGAGGTCCACGCAGGTTAACATCTGTTGTAGACTAGATGAAGAAATCCATTTTGGGATACACGAATTCCGTGGTCGATCTCTTCTTCGCAGGGAACGGGCAGGCTTTTTGAGGGATTTCTTCGATCGGTTTCACTATCGATCGGACGATCGACCATGCAATCGTGTTCATTACCGGTTTCACGATCGATAGCACAATCGATTTCACGACCCGCATTATTCCCGACCATCCTGTGGTGTTGGGTCCTCCTTTTGAAGAGACAGCGCCCCGCGTCCCACCTCCTCTCCTCCTCTTCCCCCTCCTCGCCCTCCTCCCTCCTCCCCCTCCTTGCCTCTGCTCTCGGCACACCCCTCACACGTTTCGTAGCCCCATAGGGAGCCCCACCGAAGGTCCCAGTGGCACAGCCCGCGTGCGGTTCCCCCACCCAGGGCAGCGTTTCGTAGCCCCATAAGGAGCTCCACCGAAGGTCCCAGTGGCACAGCCCGCATGCGGTTCCCCCACCCAGGGCAGCGTTTCGTAGCCCCATAGGGAGCTCCACCGAAGTTCCCAGTGGCACAGCCCGCATGGGGTTCCCCCGTCCAGGGCAGCGTTTCGTAGCCCCATAGGGACCTCCACCGAAGGTCACAGTGGCACAGCCCGCATGCGGTTCCCCTACCCAGGGCAGCGCTTCGTGGCCCCATAGGGAGCTCCACCGAAGGTCCCAGTGGCACAGCCCGCATGCGGTTCCCCCACCCAGGGCAGCGTTTCGTGGCCCCATAGGGAGCTCCACCGAAGGTCACAGTGGCACAGCCCGCATGCGGTTCCCCCACCCAGGGCAGCGGTTCGTGGCCCCATAGGGAGCTCCACCGAAGGTCCAGTGGCACAGCCCGCATGCGGTTCCCCCACCCAGGGCAGCGTTTCGTACCCCATAGGGAGCTCCACCGAAGGTCCCAGTGGCACAGCCCGCATGCGGTTCCCCCTGGCCCCATAGGGAGCTCCACCGAAGGTCCCAGTGGCACAGCCCGCATGCGGTTCCCCACCCAGGGCAGCGTCTCGTAGCCCCATAGGGAGCTCCACCGAAGGTCCCAGTGGCACAGCCCGCATGCGGTTCCCTCACCCAGGGCTGCGTTTCGTGGCCCCATAGGGAGCTCCACCGAAGGCCCCAGTGGCGCAGTTCGCATGCGTTCCCCCCCACCCAGGGCAGCGTTTCGTGGCCCCATAGGGAGCTCCACCGAAGGTCCCAGTGGCGCAGTTCGCATGCGTCCCCCCCGCCCAGTACAGCGTTTCGTGGCCCCATACGGGGCTCCCCCGAATGCGATACCCACAACTGCATATGGTTGGGTCCTTCGCCAGGCTAATTAATTTTTATATCATCTATTGATTGGGGCTTTTCTCTGGTGCAATTTCTCCCGCTGAGGCGCTGGCCCCATTTCTGCGCTTCTGGTTGTTTCAAACCGTGCTCCCTCTGCAGCGCGGGCGTCTTCGGTCTTTCCAGGTTTGCCGCCAAATTTACAGAATGCTTCCTCCGAAAAAACCATCGGAAGTGATTACACATTCGGTGTCGATTCGTTGATGTTTCTGGCCCTTTTGGGGCGTCTCCGTTTCCAGGAAGTATCCAGCGGGAGCCCAGCTTCTGCTTTGAAATGGCGATGTTGGAAGCAGAGCCAGCGGCTGCTTTCCATCAGCCCCGCCTTGTGATGATCTTCTCGGGGGGCCCAAGGAGCTAGACATGGAGCCACGACTCCAGACCGGCCCGGACCTCTCGAAGATGCTCCACTTACCCTCCAAGGAACCCGGCGCCATACCATGACATGTTTTTCGGTGTTGCGTTTTTCGCCGTTGTGCGATGCCATGATTTGCGTTGCAATGGTTTGTGATGCAATGCTTCACTTCGCAATGCCACGCCATGCAATTGCATGTTACGCGCAACCGTGCTCTTCTTCGCCATGCCGTGCCGTGATCTACCAAGCATCGCGTACCCTTTCGCGATCATTGCCTTGCTCGACATCCGACTGTGCGAATAGAGAGGGTATCCACGGCATGGTAAAGGATGGGAGGGAGGAGTAGGACGTCACATATGAAGCGAGCGCACCTAGTTTGCCTTCTCCCCTCCCCCTCCCCCTTTCCCCCTTCTCCCTCCGTCCCCCTCCCTCTGCGTGCCCCCGCGTTGGTATGGGATGTTGAGGGGGTAGCATCCACGGAGTGAGAAGGTGTAAAGCATTGTTTTTGGTTTGGGCCCCCTCGATCCATAGAATGCCTCCAGCGGGCAACTCGCCAAAACTGTGGCGCAGTAGAAGGCAGCAGCAGCAGCAACAGCAGCAGCAGCAGCAGCAGCAGCAGGGATCAGAGGCGCGGCCTCCCTCGTGCGAGCGCGCGGCCGCTCGCCATCGCTTTATGAGAGGGGGGAGCGAGCCAGTGTCGGGTTCTCCTTACGAGTCGTCGACTTCTCCGTGCCCCCCCCACTCCAGGGTCCATGTCGGCCCGATTGATCCGATGCAAACTCGACATCGGCCGTCTTGATCCGATTCGATGCCGATTTTCCAGCGATCCGATGCGGCCCGATGCCTACGTGGCGCTGCTGTGAATCCTGGCGAAGCCGATCCGATTCGATATCGATTCGTGCCGATGCTGGGAAAAACACAAATTACTGATACCGCTACTCCCTTGACCGCGCCCGGGGTGCCTTCTGACCAGAATTTCGAGGCGAATCCAGCGGTGGCGACGAGGGCCTCTCAAGAGGGCGACGAAAGGGGAAACAAGGCAAGGGTAGCAGTATGCATACATTTTCCTCTTTGGTGTGCAGCCCGATCTGATGCACTCTTCAATTCGGCCCGATCTGCCGATGCGATGCCGACTGCTGCTGCCTTCGCCCCCTGCCTGCGGCCGACCCGCGGCCCTCCCCGGGAGGCCTGTGCTCGTGCGTTCTGGGCGTGGCGACGGGGCTGCGGTGAGGGGCGCGGGGGTCCGCGGCGGGCGGGCGGGCATGCCCCCCAGACCCCCTCGCGTCGTGAAAAATGCACGACGGACGGTTTTTCGAGATTCTCGGCCTCACGGGGCCCTCACCGGGCCCCAGGAAGAGAACTGGTCCCGGAGAGTGGATCGAGACCTCTGGGGGTCGTCATGAAAAAAATCATGACGTCGGGGGTCTGGGCCTCGCCCGCGGGCCAGCCCCCCGGGGCGCATGGCGAGACGGATCGGGGAGGACCCGAGGGTCCGGGAGGGCCTGGGAGGATCGGAGGGGATCGGGGAGGATCCGGGGGGCATCGGGGCGGGCCAGGGACCACGGGGAGGAGGGGGATCGAGTAGGATCCGAGAGGAGCGGGGAGGGCGATCCAGGAGTAGGATCGAGTAGGAGGAGGAGGATCGAGGGGAGGATCGGAGAGGATGGAGGGGGGTGGGGGCGGGGGGATGGATGGGGGGCCTCTCCTGCGACGCTGCTGCTGCTCCCCCCCCGCCCCCCTCCCCCGCATCCTCGTCCTACTCCTCGTCCTCCTCGTGATTGAGGACAGCACAACCCCCCCCACCCCCACCAGGACCTCCACTAGAGCGTAATCGTAGATACTTCCTTTAGCACCCTGAGAGCACGTGATGTCCACGTTGTCTGGCGCTATGACTTCTGCCTGTCGCTTGCTGACCCACTGAGAGTTGATAAGGCCTTTGGGGTGCATGTTCCAATTGCCGGGAATGACCCATGGGCCCGTGAGCGAATGCACGAAGGACTCCAGGGCATGCAGCGCGTCGTGGCTCTTCCGTCGGGCTCCCTTACCTGGGAGCAAGTACGTTGAGATTGCCAATGGCAGATAATGGGGGCACAGCCGCAGAACATGGGCCTCCTCCCTTGCTGCCGTGCTGCTTCTTGAAGATGTTCCAACGACGTAGCTGCTATGTGAGAGCGAGCCAGTACCCATTCACCTGCCGAGAAACCAGCGTGCTTGCACAACGCTGGCGTAGCTGATAACCTCGAACCGTCCTTGGCTAGAAGATGCCGTTCGCGTGGAATTCGCGCCTCTTCGACATGTGTCTCCGAGAACGCGGTGACCTTGTAGTTGTCTTTGATCTTGTGAAATTAGCGGGCCGCCTGGGGGCCCCACTGCGTGATATGGGCAAAACAGATGCTCGTCAAAGCTGCGGCATGTCGCCTGCACCTCCACCTCTGCCTGCACCCTTGACCGCAGCACCACCAGGAGTATAATTGCTGCCATGTGCACGAGACCCTGTAATGTCAGCTTGTGACTAACAAATGCGTACCCACCCCGGGCTGATGAATAGGGCCCGCGGGGCGCGAAACATTTCTTGATCACGCGCGCCAGGGGGTCGTCGCGTGCCCCACCGAGAGGATCGTGTAACCCCCTGCATCGCAGCCTCAAAACGATTGCCTTTCGTATAGAAGTTGTGATAGGGATCGTACACATCGAAGGCGATTGTTTTTCCCCCTCTCAGGCGTCGTAGTTGTCGCCGCCGCCGTCGTCGTCCTCTTCCTCGTCGTCGTCGTCGTCGTCGTAGTCGTCGTGTCGTTGTCGCCGTCGTCGACTACAGCGGGCCTGCGCAGCCCCCCCCCCCCCTTGGGGCATCCGCAGTGCGTCGTCGTCGTCATCGTCGTCGTCGTCGTCGACGTCGGCGTCGTCGTCGTCGTCGTCGTCGTTGTCGTGGTCGTCGTCGTCGTCGTCGTTGCCGTCGTCGCGACTGCAGCGGGCCTGCGCAGCAGCACCCTCCCCCCCTAGGGCATCCGCAGTGCGTCGTCGTCTTTCTTCGTCGTCCTCGTCCTCGTCCTCCTCGTTGTCGTCCTCGTCGTCGTCCTCGTCCTCGTCCTCGTCTTGGTCGTCGTCGTCTTCGTCGGTCGTCGTCGTCGTCGTCGTCGTCGTCGTCGTCGTCGTCGTCTTCGTCTGTCGTCGTCGTCGTCGTCATCGTCGTCGTAGTCGTCGTCGTCGTGGTCGTCGTCGTCGGTCGTCGTGTTGCCGTCGTCGTCGTCGGTTGTCGGTTGTCGGTCGTCGTCGTTGTCGTCGTCGTCGTCGTCGTCGTCGTCGTCGTTGTCGTCTACAGCGGTCCTGCGCACCCCCCCATAGGGCATCGGCAGTGCGTGCGTCGGTCGTCGTCGTCGCCGCCGCCGTTGGTCGTCGTCGTCCTCGTCCTCGTCCTCGTCTTCGTCCTCGTCCTCGTCCTCGTCGTCGTCTTCGTCCTCGTCTTTGTCGTCGTCGTCGTCGTCGTCGGCGGCGGCGTCGTCGACGACTACAGACACCACGACAGAGGGGGGAGGATGACTGCCCGCCTGCCCGCCTTGCTCGGGTCGGACGAAAATGCTGGGGAAGGAAAGGGAGGTTTGCGAAACCTGCTGCGCGCAGCTGGTTTCGGTTGCCCCGCCGAGGGGCCAATCCTCGATGGTTGGCCGCTTTCGGCGCCAGGGGGCGCTCGGAAAATCAGCAACGTGAGCTGCTGGGCGGATCCCCGGTTGGTCACGCCCCCCGTTCGTCCAGCCCGCGGCCTGCGATGCAGTTGTCGCCCCCCTGGCTGCGGCCAGGGAATAGGAAACACATCGGCCCGACAGAAAAACACGGAAAGTGCGGTGGCGAACGCCGACAGCAGTTTTTTCTTCATTTCGAACAGATGTCGTCGCGGTCCTTGCTTCGGCCGCCTTGCCTCCCGCCCCCCATCCCCTCCGCCAGCCTGTGCTGTCTGTCGCCTTCTCGCTGGCGGCTGGGCGTCGGCGTGGGCGTCGGCCGAGCAGGGAATTTATTCCCAACCACCGTGTGGTGGGTTTTCGTTTTGAAGAGACAGCGCCCCGCGTCACTTCTCCCGCTGCCCCCATTCGCCTCTTCCTCCTTCTATTCCTCCTCCTTTTCCTCCTCCTCCTCCTCCTCGTTGCCTCTGCCCTCCGAACGTCCATGTCGGCGCACCCCTAACACGGTTCGTGGCCCCATAGGAGCCCCATTGAAGGCCCCAGTCGCCGTGTCCGCACGCGGTTCCCCGCCAACCGCGCGTCAATGTCGGCGCACCCCTCACGCGGTTCGTGGCCCCATGGGAGCTCCACTGAAGGCCCCAGTGGCCGTGTCCGCATGCGGTTCCCCGCCGGCCGCGCGTCCACGTCGGCGCACCCCTCGCACGGCTCGTGGCCCCATATGGGGGCCCCACCGCAGGCCCCATTGGCCGCGTCCGCATGCGGTTCCCCGCCTGCCGCGCGTCCATTTCGGCGCACCCCTCGCACGGTTCGTGGCCCCATAGGGATTCCATTGAAGGCCCCATTGGCCGCGTCCGCACGCGGTTCCCCGCACACCGCGCGTCCATGTCGGCGCACCCCTCACGCGGTTCGTGGCCCCGCAGGGAGCTCCACTGAAGGCCCCAGTGGCCGCGTCCGCACGCGGTCCCCTGCCCAGCGCGCGTCCATTTCGGTATACCCTTCACACGGTTCGTGGCCTCATACTGAACCCCACCGAAGGCCCCACTGGCAGGGTTCGATTGGCACCACCGCACTCACTTCGGCATACCCCCTTACACGGTTCGTGGCCCCATGGGGAGTTCCACCGAGGGCTCAAGTGCGCATGACACCACCGCGCCCAATCTGGCAAACCTCACACGGTTCGTGGCCCCATAGGGAGTTCCGCCGAAAGGTCCAGTGGGAGGGTTCGATTGGCTCTACCGCAATTCGGTACACCCCCATCACACGTCCCGTGGCTTCACAGGATGCTCCACCGAAGGCTCCACCGAAGGCTCCAGTGGGAGGGTTCGCATGGCACCACCGCGCCCAAGTCGGCACGCCCCTCACCCGGTTCGTGGCCTCATAAGGAGTTCCACCGAAAGCGGTGCCCACAATGCGGTACTCGCAGCAACATGTGGCTGGGTTTTTAATAACCATAAAACCGCGCGCCCCCTACGGATTTCTTGATCACCAGCTGACATCACACGAGCGAAGACCTTTTTCTGGCTGCCTCCAAAGACGTGGTCTTGCCGCTGGCAGCGAGCTGCGCGGCCTGGATGGGAGCCTCCTTGGTGGCTTTGACGGCTGCCTTTTTCCGATCCTCGGAAAAAGAGATGCCTCACGAGGAGGAAGTTGCAGCGGTATCGGGGCGGTCCTCAAGTGCTGATGTCTCTTTGTTCGGGGGGTAGGTGCCTCTTGCTGTCTAGCTGGTGCTGCTTCACCTGTTTGACCCTTGCGCTTCTTGGACGCTGGGGCCTCCACACCTTTCTCGATGTCCGTGAGCAGCTTTTCGAACCGATCGTGGCCCGCGAGCAGCTCTTGACGATGCCGTCGGAGTCATTGCTGCCATTGTCATAAATATTCCTGGACCGACTGGGTTGCGCGGGGTTGGGGCGAGTTGTTGCGCCAGGTTGGGGCCAGATGTAGGTCTGACGGGTGAGTCACACGGCGAGTTCCACGAGCAACACACGGGTATGAAGTACACTTTGGCGCGTACCACGAGCAGCGCGACGGACACCAGGTTCACCAGGGTCGGGAAGTCAACGTTCCAAGCGTACCGGCCCATCCGCTATCGTGAGCTGGGCGCACTGGGGTTGTGATTCCGCTTCTCTCTCCTTCCCTCCCTCCCTCTCTCCCCTGCTCCGGCGTCGTTCGGTCCAGCCGTGCATGGTGGCCGCCTGGAGGGTGGGTAGTTCCCTGCGACGCTCGGCTGGAGAGGTGAGGGGTGGGGGGGCGCTCCCTGACTCCGCCCAGGCACTGCGCCCAGGAGGAAGCCCAGGCAGCAGGCGCAAGCTGCCATTGGCTGCGCAAGCCTCGCCCGCTAGTTCGCAGAGGCAGCTGGCACTGCGTAGCATGTACGTTGTAGTTAGGATTCTCACTGGAATTCTTTGGTCAGAGTTTCGGCAGGGGGGGGCGCGATTTGTCCGCCCACCGCCCCCCCAGGGGGCCCCGCACTGGGGTCGAGGGTCCGCTTCTCTCCCCTTTCCTTCTCCTCCCCTCCCCTCCTCTTGCTGCTGCTGTTGCGACTTGGCTGCTGCTGTTGCGGCTTCCTTCCTTCCTCCCTCCTCCCCCGTCGTCGTCGTCGTCGCTGCCGCCGCCGCCGCCGCGTTCGTCGTCGTCGTCGTTGGCGTCGTCGGCGTCGTCGGCGTCGTCGTCACCGTCGTTGTCGGGCGCGGTCCTCTGCCTTCCTCGGGTTTGTGGCCCCCCCGTAGGGGGGGCTTCTGAGGCAGTGGCCTCCGAGCCCGCACAGGGCATTCGCCAGGAGTGCGTTTTAACCCTTCCTCTGCCTTT